TTTTTTAAGTTTTAGTTCCTGCCTAAATCCATTAGATTAACAATGACTTGGTTAGAATACAAAGCTTACACCTTAAGAGTGCGCTTGGTACGAAAGGAAAATGTTTTTATGGAAAATGAGTGGTTTTATCAGTTATTTTCTCTTGTTTGGTTGGTGAGTGAAAAACTTCTTGCGGAAAATATTTTCTAGTGTTTGGTTAGAGAGTAAAAAATATTTTTTTAGGAAAATAAATTTTTATGCTACTCTTCTCACCCCTTTCCCCCAAGTCTCCATGTTTCATGTGCTCTCCCCCCTCGCCCACCCCCTACCCCCCAAATACCCAATGTTTTAAGGACTCTATTTTCTTTAACAATTTAATTATTCTTCTAAAAATTCACACAAAATTCAAAGGAACTAATGTGCTGCTTTATTTTTTTTACACAAAACAACGTTGAAATTATAATCCATAACTATAAGAAAAATACTCTTTTTTTGGTTGAAAAGGAAAATACTATTTCTACAAAATAAAAATAAGATAATCATTTTATCGAAATAAATAAAAATATTTTTTCTTAGTACCAAACACACCCAAAATTGAGATCCTTTCTGCTTTTTGGATGCAACACGACATTCGAATAATTGATTGCCGGCCTAGTAATAAGATCATTGGTATCCCATGAATATATCTATCTGAGATATTATTTTTAAAATTGTGCACGTGTCAAGATCCCATAACTTTTCAACATAAATTTTTAAGATAATTTTCTTTTTAATTTTTCTTTTTTGGATCTGTTCGTGACATGAGTTAGTTATAAGTCAAATTCTTATCCACTAAACAAGGTTAGAACTAGTTCCACGTATACGGATAGAGCCCAAAGCCCGCAAAAAGGATCTTCAATCCAACTGAGTGCTATATTATTTGAACAAGACAAAATAATCAGAATGGATGGATAATATTTCTTCACCCTTAATTAAAAATTGTCACGTTCCGTTTTATTACTCGAATAAAGAATATTTTGGGAAGAAGCACTTATAATTTATTACGAACTATTATATGTGAACATAACAATTCAGCACATGTAATAATTATACACACGGCCAACACACCCAAATAAACTATATACTCCCTTCTATCCATAATAAATGATCAATTTATCTTTTTATTTTATTCCAAAATATGTGTCCATTTATATAATCAAGAAAAAATTTAATTTGTTTTTCTAAAATTACCCTTATGTATGTATCCCTAAAAAGTCATTTACTCCTCATATTTTAAAAGAGAAGTAAGTGCTACTATAACTATTATGCAACATTTAATGAAGGATAGTTTAGTCATACTAACTATTTTCATCTAGAATTTAATATTTTTTTGATGATTGTATCCAAAGCAAAATAGTCACTTATTATGGACCGAAGAGAGTAAGCGTACGTAGCAAAAGTTAGGAAGGGACGGTGCAAATCATGAGTGGAAGGTGCACTTTATCTCTCTTTGGATAAGTGCATTTATAAGGCCCCACGGGCTTCTTTAGTGTCACGGGTGCATAAATACCCACTATATCCATGCACAAACCTTGGCACTTTGCACCAACAAAAAAAGCCAATATTGTTACTAGCACAATAACAATGCAACCAAAGACTTTCCAATTCATTCTTTTGATCATTTTCTTGATCTCACCTCATTCTCTGTGCTTCAACACCGGTGGCAAAGACGGCGGAACGGAGATGACCCCGCCGGAAACATCTTCATCCCCTGGTGGAGGAAGTGGTGCAGCTCATGGACCTAACTGGGATTACAGCTGGGGTTGGGGTTCTAGCCCTGGTGCAGGATGGGGTTTTGGCTCGGGTTCGGGAAGGTCGCCTGATGGTTTCGGTCGAGGCTGGGGGTTTGGTTTTGGGTCCGGGAGTGGGTCCGGTACTGGCTTTGGCTATGGTTCTGGTTCTGGTGGTGCTCATGGTGGTGGTTATGGAGTCGGAAGTGGTGGTGGTGGCGGTGAAAGTGACGATGATAGTGGTCGTGTACCATCAATCTCAGGGGAGAGAGATCATCGTGGGTAAACACACACACACACAGTGTGTATTATATTGTGACTAATTAATAGTATGTGTTATAGGGCTTGATGTCTAGTAAAGTATACCATGAGAATATAGTAAGTAAATGAGTATATAATGGAATAATATATTTACATGATTAATGTTTGCAGAATATTATAAGGAAAATAATGAGTTTCTTTCTATGAATTGATTAGTAATGTTCATGATTAACTCCGTTGTGTTAGATACTGAGGATGTGAAGCAGCAATCCAGTATTAGTTTTTCCTTTATGTATAATGGATGTTTTCACTTCTACTCTATATATAAAAGGTATCCTTTATAATAATACTTTATTATAACGGCCAAATTTTCTTTGAAACCAATTTTTCATGTTATGTTATAATATATGTTCTATATAACAGCACTTTACTATAGTAGTCAAAATAATTTGAAACAAATAAGACTGTTATAGGTGAATTTGATTGTACTATGTTTGACTCAACATTCATAGTTTTTTTATCCGGCTCTTCTCCGTTACATTTTTGGAATGAATATTGATGCTTGTTGTATTTAGAATTTATAGTTCTAGATTGAAAGAATTTATCTGACCGTATTTAATTAAGAAATAGATCTCAGAAAGTAATCTCCAACTTTGGTAAGAAAATAATTGGCATTCCTTCTAAATAAATTAAAACCAAATCTTCAGCTTTGGTAAGAAACCTTGTTTGAAATTCTAAATTTCGTTAATCATTTAATTAGTCATTTATATAAGATTTTAATTTAATTATCTTAAGATTATTTTAATCTGTTGATATTGATAAACAACTAAACAACATGACAGTCGGACATTCTATAGCTAATTCTGTAAAAATAAAAGAGACCTGCTGATTAAACCATGCAATTTCTATGTAGAAAGTAATGTGGATGTGGCTTTTTTTTTAAAAAAAGAAAAATTCTAGGATCCTGTCCTTATAATGTTAAAATTAATTTAATTTACATGCACTGTTAGTATAATAAAATTTTAAATTATACCATTAAGCTAACCTGTTATAACAGATTACTTACCAAGTTACCATTTATTTTGTGCTACTAATCAATGATATTAAATAAATTTACCAGCAATTACCTATTAAGTAACCAGACTATGTAATACTTGAACTACAAACAACCTCCGTCCTATTTTAATTGTCACTTTAGTTCAAAAAATATATTCTAAAACAATTGTCACTTTAGGAATTCAAGACTAAATTTATTAATTGTTTCAAACTATACCCTTAATATTAAAGTAGAATGTTCTTTTTAATACTATTCAATTTTGATGTTTTATACTTCAATACCACACAAGATGGGGGGTGATTTGTGTGGTGTCCAATTTTTCGCTTAAACTGATTATGGAAGGACTTGGTTCTTCTACGTGTTCCTTAACCTACTATTGCAGAAATAGTAAATGCGGAAAGTAAAGAACACAAGTATTTTACGTGGAAAACACCTAGCTCAAAAGGTGAAAAAATCACGACCTACTTTCCAGTAGGATTTTCCCAAACTCTCCACTAAAATCACTGAGCCAAAAACTGCATTTATAAAAATTCTTTTGTAAACCTAGGACTAACTCTAATCCCGTTGTAGCACAAAAAGCCTATAACTGTTGCGACAACTTCAAGTTAACTCTAACTTGAAGACTCTGAGTACCTATTACAATTGCCTCTAGATAAAGCTGAAAGGTACAATATGAAAACACCTACTACAATTGAACTAGAATAAAAGACAAACACTTGGAACTGGTTCTTCTATCTGGTTCATGTAGCTTCAGGTTTGCACACTTGAATCACACACGAACTGCTTGCAAAATCGCCTTGCTATTTTACTCTCAATTCACGTTTAACTTCTGCTTATGTGCATTCCTGTAAAAGAGAACAACGCTAATATTTATAGAGTTAGTAAATAGAGATTGACTAGAATTCTGATGCTACTCTTCCTTGGTGGAAGAGTTCTAGTTGATCTCAACCTCTAACTCCTTCCCTTTCTTAAGCTGTGTTCTCTTTGAGTAATGAGTCCTTCTCCTTATCAATTATGTAACCTTTTCGATCAGGATCAGGAGATATCAACTCTGTCAAGTTAGGTTTATCTCCTTCACGTGCATCCCACATGCTTAAGTCTATCCACATCTGTGCTTAACTAAGATGGACCTGGTTCATGTCTGAGTTCCTTTGTTAGTCTTCAAAACTAACCATTACTTGGGCCAACAAATTCCCCCTTTTTGATGATGACAAACTCTGTGCTTTTCATACACTTAGGCCCTGCTAGAACTAGCTCAACATCAGTGCAATATTAGAAATATTTTTCACTTATCATCAAGGACCAGGTTCATTAGGTTATAAACATCACTATTCAGAATGTAAAGCACATTTTCTTTTCCTCTTTTTGGCGTCATCGAAAAATTGCATAAACAATGTGTGATTCCCAGATTTTAAAAATTACTCATGGCCATTGGGGCAACTGCAAATGCATTCATGGATTAATCATTAGTAATCAACTACACATTCAAATATCAAGGAAATATTAACAGTCAATAAGAGCAAAAGCAGCAAACTTCATTGATAGAGAATATGATTCTACCACAATCCACAAAAAGAAACAAAAACAGTTAAAATGAGCAAAAAAAATCCCTAATCTGGGTCACTGAAAGGTCTAGGCATGGCTTAGGAAATTAAAGCTTGGAAGAACTGGGTTTTGGGTTTTGGCTTGGAGAAGGTGCAGCATGTCTTGAAGAATTCCATCATTCTACTCCTTTTCCTTTGTGAGCTCATAGTTTTGAGAGCATCTCTCTCAGATTCTACCTCTGACAAATGAGTCTTCAGCCTTGCTATCTCAGCATCCTTTGCCCCACTCTCCTGCAATAGAGCTCTAACCTTGCTATTTATAGGTGTCTTTTTGGATGAACCAGGTTCACTGGGAGTGGCAGTGATCTCATAGTCACAAGCGAGCAGAGTATTGATTCCAAAGTGATCTTTGCTTGTTGCCATCTCCCACTTCTATAGAGGCACCTTACAATGAGCAAGAATAGTAGTGAGAATGAAACCATAAGGAGTGGCATGGGCCTTGGAGCCATTGATAACCCAGTATAGAAGCTTGATTATAAACCCGGGCCAGTTGATCTACCGCCCACTATCCAGACATTCCATCAAAACCAAGTCCATGTAGTTGGCAATTTGCCTTCTTTCCTGCCTAGGCAGTACACACTTGATGACGAATTCAAACAGTACCTTGTGGGAAGGCTTCATTTCACTCTTATAGACAGCCTTTGGGGCATTGACCTCCTTATTATCACAGAATTTCCTAGTGATGGATAGGGCAGTAGGAAGAGAGTCCAGACTTGGCCATTTTTGCCTTGTGTAATCATCATAACCTTCAGAAGGTATGCCAAGGATTTCGCCCAACTCTTTTGCATCAAAAGACAATTAAACCCCTTTCACCAGGCTGGTGACTCTCCCATCCTTCACCTCAACATTTGCCATGAATTCAATAATGTCATTCCGGGCTAGTCTGCCATCTAACTAAAGGACCATGTCCTTCCATCCCTGTACCTCTAGCCTTTCAAGCAGTAGAACCATCCCTTTTTCCTCCAAGTCCTTCAAAAGTCTTCCCTTCAAGATAGTGCGTTTGCCAAACTTGGCCAGTTTGTCCTGTTCATTATCAGACTCATCCTCCTCTTCACCACTCCAATCTTCTTCTTCAGTAATTTTCACTTGTTTGGATTTCACAGCAGACCTTGTCCGTTTAGCCAAAGTAGAGGGTTCAGCAAACTTAGATACAGATGAGGATTCTTTGAGGAAATCTTGGCTCTCTTGGGCTTAGGGGTCTAAACCTCCACCTCAACAGTCACATGTTCACCTTGATGGACCGGGTCCATCTTATCCACATCAACAGCCTCAATAGGCTCTGCCACCTTTGCTTTACCTTTGTCCATCCTTTTCTTCTTACTTTCTTCCATAGCTTTCTGCAACTCTTCCTCACTTTTCTTCAACTTGCTCCTCGTGGCCCTTCCTTTTGGTAAGGGAGTTTCAGTAGTTTCAGAAGAAGCATCCTTCCTTTTCTTGTTGGCTCTTGCTGTGACAGGAGTCTTTAGTTTCGGAGTTCTATTTTTCTTGGGTTTATAGCTATCACCTACCCTTTTCAAGAGATCTGCTAGAGTTTCTTCCACAAATGAACCAGGTTCATCTGTGTGCTTTCCAAGATTAACGAGTCCCTCAGCAGCTTCCTCTGATCCACTTCCCCCTGTTTTCTTGCTACTTTCTTCCACCTATTCTGGCTCAGCTCCACTGATAGCCATTTTAACAGTTTCAGACGTGGGTGAAGAATCAGCCACTTCTTTCCCTTTTCCCCTCTCATCACTACGAACACCCTCACCCTCAGTTTCTTTTCCTCTTTTATTTTTACCTCTTCTCCTTCACGACTCAGTAGTTTCCACATCCACAACAGACCCAACCAAAACAAATCGATTTTCCAGATTTTCGGTCGTATCAGGGATTACCTCAATAGAGGGATTTGGAACAGACGTTACCTGTTCTGAATCAGAAGACCCAGTTCATTCCCCCTCACTTGCAGACTTGAAAGAATTATCAGAATTTTGAGAATCTTGAACTTGGCTAGCTTTTAACTGGGCGTTTAATTTCCTTGAAAGCGCACCTATAGCTACAGTTTTTCGAGCAAACATCTTTACTCGCCTTCTCCTAGGCTGAGGGGTGGTGCTGGGTTGAGGAGTAGTGGAGGGATCGGAAGGGGTAGGTGGAGGAGGTGTTCTTGGGTTATCTTGGGGGTTTGTCATTCTCTCTAGATTCTGAAAAAGATTGGAGGTTTGAATTTTGGAAGAGAAGAGAAGACAAAAAAATTTTGACGGTTTTTGAAAATTATGGGAGAATGGCAATGGTGATGATGATGAATTTAAAGGAGGAGGGCAATTAATACACAACGGCAGCTTTTAGTAGTCAAATAGAAGTCTAATCACCCTGAAATTGCAGGTTGAATAGGCGGTTAAGCTTCCCTAGAATCTAGGCATTTTAACACAGTGAGGATTCTAGTTGAAACGGAACTGGTTCAAACTTAAAAGGATAGGCTTTTGAAGTTTTTGAACGTAGGTAGGACTCTGCTCATGAATTAAATATTAGTATTTCAAATTGTGCAGAATGTAGAAAACAAACCTCGTTATTCAGATGAACCAGTACTGATGAACCAGGTTCTTCACTGAGAATCCTCTTGATCATTTCTCAATTTGCCAAAATAGAGAAAATTTTGTTAGAGATCAGTGATTCATATTAACGCATGGCACAGGAGTATACTATTTACAATATGAGACTAAGCAAAGATTAATCTAGTTATTTACACAAGTACCAGATTTTCTAACCAAAAAAAAATTCATATTTTTTTTTTGCATTCTGAACTGGTTCCATTAGGTGATCTTAATCATCCCTAATTCTAATCTGTTCCTTTCAAAGTTCTCTCTACTCAGTGCTTTTGTAAAAATGCCAGCAATCTGCTTATCAGTAGCACAAAACTCTACAGTGACCAAGCCTTTTCTCATAGTTGTCCCTCAAAAAATGGTGCCTAACATCTATGTGCTTAGTTCTCTTATGATGAACCGGGTTCTTTGTCATACTAATAGCACTTGTGCTATCATAAAAAATAGGGATGCAACCAACATCAATTCCAAAATCCAGTAATTGTTGTTTGATCCACAGCAATTGAGCACAACATGAAGCAGCAGCAACGTACTCAGCTTCAGCAGTAGATAAGGCCACTGAATTATTCTTTTTAGTAGCCCATGACAAAAGACATGAACCAAGAAAATGAGCCATACCTGAGGTGCTCTTCCTCTCTCCAAGAAACCTGCATAGTCAGCGTCAGCATATCCCACTAGGCTAAAGTTACTACCTTTTGGATACAGGCAAAGGTCAGTGGTGCCTTTCAAGTATCTCAATATTCTCTTGACAGCGGTCAAGTGGGATTCTTTTGGATTTGCTTGCAATCGAGCACAAAGCCTTACACTGAAAACAATGTCAGGTCTGCTAGCAGTAAGATACAAAAATAAACCAATCATACCCCCATACAACTTCTGATCAACAGATGAACCAGGTTCATCTATGTCGAATTTTGTGGCTGTTGCAATAGGAGTATCTATTTCCTTTGATTCTTCCATTTTAAACTTCTTAAGCAACTCTTTTACATATTTTTGCTGATGGATCATAGTTCCATTTGAGTTTTGTTTAATTTGCAAGCCTAAAAAGAAATTAAGCTCACCCATCATACTCATTTCAAATTCACTCCCCATTAGTTTAGCAAATTCCTTACTTAGTTTTTCAGTAGTTGATCCAAAAATTATGTCATCAACATATATATGTACTACTAGAAGATCTTTACCTTTTTCCCTCAAGAATAGAGTGTTATCAATTTTACCTCTCTTATAGCCACGTTCAAGAAAAAATTTTGATAGTCGTTCATACCATGCTTTAGGAGCCTGCTTGAGTCCATAGAGTGCCTTGTCAAGTTTGTATACATGATCAGGACACTCCTTGCTTTCAAACCCTGGAGGTTGCTTGACAAACACTTCTTCTTTTAAGTAGCCATTGAGGAAGGCACTCTTGACGTCCATCTGGTGAAGAGTAAATTCCATGTTTGCATTTACCCAGTCTGCATCCTGCAAAGCCTCAGCAACATTTTTAGGTTCAATAAGAGATAATAAAGCATCAAAAGCACAAAGATTCTTTAATGAAGATCTAGTTTTAGTTTCAGAGGTCGGATCAATAATTATGTTCTCAATGGGATGAGAACTTTGGTACTTGTAAGGTTTTACAACCAACTGGTTTCCTCTAGATGTTTCTCCAATGTTTTGTTGTTGAGGAACAGGCTCATGGACAGATTCCATTGAGATATTAGATTCAGTTCCTCTTTGTTCAATTCCCCCTGTCAAGTTTCCCTGGATAGAAGAATCTGTTCCATCACCTGTTCCTTCTTCTGGAGCAGCATCAGCCTGGGCTGTGATTTCATTTAAGCTCCTTACCAGCCCAATGGCTTCATCTTCAGGTTCCTGTCTCTTAGAAAGAATGTTAGTTTCATCAAAAACCACATGTACACTTTCTTCTACACACATAGTTCTTTTATTGTTCATTTTATAGGCTTTGCTATCTGAAGAATATCCCAAGAATACTCCCTCATCACTTCTGGGATAAAACTTACCTAGGGAGTCCTTTCCATTGTTGTGCACAGAGCACTTGCATCCAAATGCCCTAAGATGGGATATATTGGATTTTCTCCCTTTAAGTAACTCATAGGGAGTCTTCTCTACAAGAGTTCTAGTCATGCACCTATTAAGAATGTAACAAGCAGTGTTTATAGCTTCTGCCCAGAAGCTACGGGGTAGTCTAATAGAAAGAAGCATAGTCCTAGCCATATCTTCAAGTGTCCTATTCTTTCTTTCAACTACTCCATTTTGTTGTGGAGTCCTAGAGGCAGAAAAATTATGATCTATGTCATGCACATCACAAAATTCAGCAAACTTAGCATTTTCAAATTCAGTTCCATGATCAAACCTAATTGATGCATGTTGATTACCTAGTTGTTTATGAGTTTTTCTAACAAAAAAAGTAAACATGTCAAATGCTTCATCTTTAGATGTTAAAAACAATGTCCAAGTAAACGTAGAGTAATCATCAACAAGCACCATCACATATCTTTTACCACCTCTGCTTAATGTTCTCATTGGACCACAGAGATCCATATGGACCAGTTCCATCGATCTGGTCGTGCTTACTACTTTCTTGCATTTAAAAGAGGATATTACCTGCTTCCCCCTTGCACAAGCCTCACAAACTTTGTCTTCCTTAAACTTGATGTTAGGCACTAATTTGTTGAGTTGACTTAGACTTGCATGTCCAAGTCTCTTGTGCCAAAGGAGGGGATCATTGTCCAACACACTTAAGCAAGTGAGTTCATTTTCTGAAATAGTGGACAGATCTACAATGTATATATTGTTTACTCTTTTTCCCTGCAAAACAATCTTGTCAGTAGTAAGATTTATCACAAAATATTTGGTAGATGTGAATGCTAACAAATTACCTCTGTCACACAGTTGTGATACACTAATTAGGATATATTTCAAGCCATCTATCAAGTAGACATTCTCAATGGAGTGTGATTCTATCTTACCTACCTTTCCAACCCCAATGATCTCACCTTTCTTACCATTTCCAAAGGAGACATTACCCCCTTTGAGGTCCTCAAGTGAAAGGAATTAGTTCTTGCTTCCAGTCATATGCTTTGAGCAGCCACTATCCATGTACCATACTTGACTGCTCCCTTTCACTTGGACCTCAGATTCCTCTTCAGATTCTCCAATGGCCATAAGTGCTTGTTCATATCCATCTTCATCCTCTGAATCTTCATCTGAACTTTCTCCTCAGGCAGCAACCATAGCCTTTGTTGATCCTTTGTTCTTCTTGGGATGAACCTGTTCCTTCTTCCTGTTTCTTCGTTCAGCCCTTTCCTTCTTTCATTCAATTTCCCACTAAGGGCAGTTTTTGATGTGGTGATCAGTCTTACCACACTTGTAGTAGCCCTCGTTGGTCTGTTTTTCAGGAACCCTTGGTTTGTTGTAGCTTGAATCTCTTGAAGAACCCTTTCCTCTCATTAGATACTTCTTGAAATCCTTAGTGATCATAGCCATTTCATCCTCTTCTAGATCAGCACCTTCAGTGATTCTGAGAGCCAGGCTCCTTTCCTTCTTGGGTGCATCCATCTTCATGCTTTGACTTCTAAGTTCATAGGCAATGAGATTTCCAATTAGCTCGTCCAACTTAAGGGTGGCAATGTTCTTTGATTATTGAATTGCAGTGATTTTGCTTTCCCAAGTGACTGGCAAAACCCTTGTCAAAATTTTCTCAACTTTGTCTTCTTCAAGAATAACCCTTCCGAGAGACATAAGTTCATTTGTTAGTATGGTGAACCTTGTATACATCTCTTGAATGGTTTCTCCTTCCTTCATGGTGAAATTTGCATATTAAGAATACAGTAGTGTTCCTCTTGATCTCTTCACTTGAGGAGTTCCTTCATGAGCCACTTACAGAGTGTCCCAGATTTCTTTAGCAGTGGTACAGCTTTGAATTCTACTGTACTCGTTTGGACCAAGTCCACACACAAGCCATTTCTCGGCCTTAGCATTCTTTTTCCACTTCCTCAAGTCCTCAGCATTGCAGTCAGCTCTTGTCTTTGGCACGTCTACTCCTTCAGCATTCTTCTTCACGTTAGCCAGGGGACTATCAGTGACAATATCCCATAGCTCATAGTCTTCTCCGATGATGTGATCTTTCATTCTGTTTTTCCACCAGGAGTAATACTGGCCATTAAAGAGTGGAGGGCTAGCAGTGGATTGCTTTTCCCAGTTTCCAGGTGGTGCACTCATCTTGATCTGTTCCTAAGGTGGTAGCCTTTTCAAGGATAACCCGCTCTGATACCAATTGATGTTTTATACTTCAATACCACACAAGAAGGGGGGGTGATTTGTGTAGTGACTAATTTTTTGCTTAAACTGATTATGGAAGGACCTGGTTCTTCTAAGTGTTCCTTAACCTACTATTGTAGAAATAGTAAATGCAGAAAGTATAGAACACAAGTATTTTACGTGGAAAACACCTGGCTCAAAAGGTGAAAAAACCACAACCTACTTTCCAGTAGGATTTTTCCAAACTCTCCACTAAAATCACTGAGCCAAAAACTGCATTTACAAAAACTCTTTTGTGAACCTAGGATTAACTCTAATCCCGTTGTAGCACACAGCCTATAACTGTTGCGACAACTTCAAGTTAACTCTAACTTGAAGACTCTGAGTACTATTACAACTGCCTCTAGATAAAGCTAAAAGGTACAATATGAAAACACCTATTACAATTGAACTAGAATAAAAGACAGACACTTGGAACTGGTTCTTCTATCTGGTTCATGTAGCTTCAGGTTTGCACACTTGAATCACACACGAACTGCTTGCAAAATCGCCTTGCTATTTTGCTCTCAATTCACGTTTAACTTCTGCTTATGTGCATTCATGTAAAAGAGAACAACACTAATCTATATATATATATATATATATATATATATATATATATATATATATATATATGGTTAAGCCAAGTGGCAAGCTAATATAAAGCCACTTGGCAATTTAGGACATTAATAATATTTAATTTAAATAGGATATTTCTTTAATTTAAATAGAAAGATAGTAAATAAGATTCTTTTGAATTTGAATGGAAAGAAAGTTAAATTTGAATTGATTGATTAATTAATTAGAAAAACTAATGAACACATAAATGTTCCAATTCAAACGAGAGGCTCACCGAGTGAGGCAATTGTTCTAAATAATGAGAAAGAGTTTTTTGAAATTTGAGTTCACAACAAAAACAACAGAAAAAATAAAAACGTGTTTGTTACTCGAAATAAGATTGAAAAATCTAGGTTCGAACCCATAATCATAATTACTGAGTTGTTGGATCAAAACTTAACTTTCGTAAGATGATCAATAGTGTTCACTTCTCTGTGTGCCCTAAGACATTAATTCAATAAATTTAAGCATAACAAATATGAAATTAAGATGTATATTATATTAATAGTGATAATAGAAGAGAGAAAATATAAATTGAAGCATCAACTTGTATTTATAGAGTTAGTAAATAGAGATTGACTAGAATTCTGATGCTACTCTTCCTTGGTGGAAGAGTTCTAGTTGATCTCAACCTCTAACTTCTTCCCTTTCTTAAATCGTGTTCTCTTTGAGTATGAAGTCCTTCTCCTTATCAATTATGCAACCTTTTCGATCAGGATCAGGAGATATCAAATCTGTCAGGTTAGGTTTATCTCCTTCACGTGCATCCCACATGCTTAAGTCTATCCACATCTGTGCTCCACTGAGATGGACCTGATTCATGTCTGAGTTCCTTTGTCAGTCTTCAAAACTAACCTTTACTTGGGCCAACAAATTTTCAAAAAGTATTTAAAAGATGTAATTTAGTAAACTAAACCTTGCATTTACTGTTTTCTTAATGGACGTGAAAACGACTAAAACGACAATTAAAATGGGAAGGAGTAATAATTATCGTTTATTTATTTACCATATTGATATTGATTGTTGTAATCTCAAATTTTCCATTAGTAATTCTGGATAACCCCAAATTTCATTGTAACTAAAACTATTATAAATTAAACTTAAAAGAATTAGTCCAAAGTCTGAACAATGACTAGAAAAAGTCCTCCATTCAAGATCCTACTTCATTGATTTCGGCTTTATTTTTGCTCTCTTATTTTCTTCTTCTTCTTCTCCAACATTTACTCTATCTTAAATTAACAAAGTCGACGTAGAAGGGAAACTATAGCTTATCGTTAAAAATTAAAGATGTATAGATCGTCGAGCACAACTCGAGTTTCAGACGATTATTTCAATAGCTATTATTCTTCATCTTCAAATTCATCACCCTCACAAAAAGTGTCTCCAGCATTAAGAGCTTTGTCTTTGGAAACTAACGAATTATTACCAATAAATGAACCACTTTCGGATATTGCTAAAAAGGAAAAATCTCGTGCTAAATTTGCAGAAAATGCTGTTCATATTATACCTTTGGTCTTGCTCTTGTGTGGATTTATCCTATGGTTTTTGTCTAATCCAGGTATCTTCTATTCTATAATTACTCTTTAATATTTTTTTTTGGCTAATATTTTTAATTTTATTACACTAGAGGATTTGCTTTTCATACTTGTATTGCTTTTCCATACCTGTCCTACTAGTGTAGTCTAGTACTTCCTATTCTTATATTTTTTACTGCTTGTTATTTCGGTTATTTTATTTTTCTGGTTGTAATTATAGCTTCTCTTTTCAAATTTGCTATGATTATGATTTTCTTGAGCCAAAGGTCTATCAAAAGCAACCTTTCTACCTTATGAGATTACACTGGATATGTTGTTGTTGTTGTTATTATATTTAAGGATTTGGGAAAGGGGGCAAAGATGAGAATTGAACCCAATGATTATAAGCCTCGATTAATTCATACAAATTATATTCGATACCACCAGACTATAAGCCTTTGTGGTTAATTACTCTTTTGTTTCAAGCTTAATTAATTTATAAAAAATAGGTAGAGTAAGACTAAAGTTTCACGTCTATATCGTATAAACTTCGAGCAATTTGATCGCGTCCAATGATTTGTGAAAGAAATTGTATCCAATGATAATTTGATATGCTAAACACTTGATTAATACATTTTTCTCAATCAATTTATCGTAACATATTATAATTTCTTCAAAATTCGGTAAGTGATGAGTTATTTTTCTCCCATATCCTATCTAAGTAATCATTTGAATTGATCAATTTCCTGAATCGATTTGACAATTTCATTTGATTTTTTAACCTCGCCTATGCTGACATGTGATGTGATCATATTGTTTACATTTAAACCTTGTAAATCAATGTTTATTAAAGGTATTTTTGCTGTAATTGGTATTTATCATAGATTTTTTTGGCAAATGGATGGTGTAGAAAGATTTTATATACGTATAGTAATTGACGGGCTCTACCTAACTGCTCACCTATTTTTCAATTACAATATGCATGCGTAAGAACTACTATAAGTTATAATAATTAATAATATAAAATATTTAAAAGACACATAAAAAAATTGCAGTCAAAGAACAATTCGTTTGGCTCTCGAAATCCGAAAATCTTCACATAAACTAGGACGGAAGGAGTACTATTTAACTACCAAATATGGTCAGATGGTAAGTTATACCCTCTATTTTTAACCAAAAGTCTCGGGTTCGAGCACTGGAATGGAATCTCCTTATTCCCCTTGGCGAGGTGTCCAAAAAAAAGGGAGATCATCACAAAATCCATGAAACCTATAAATTTATGTATTGCTCTCTATTTTCGAGATATTAATTGTGTATGTGGTGTTAATTACTTCTATTAATCAAACTAAAATAAACTTGCTTTCTTAATTGTTTGTAAAACAGATATTGATGCGCCATTGAAAGGCGAAGCAATTCCTAGAAGAATAGAAGGATTAAACCTTGATGGAGATCTCGATCCTCATGGAATGCATATTGCAAATTTACCTCTAGAGTTGACTGATGATGATTTGATCAAACAAGATGAAAATCGTCGAACATCTTATATGGAAAATAGATTTCCGTAAAAATCTTTTTTATTTTCTTTTTCACTTCTTCATACCGAAATTCTCATCATTTATGTTTTAACGGTTGCTCTTTTGAGCGACGAAGTTACTAGAGATTTCTCTCTAGTATTTGCTTAGATAATCTGGTCTTTGGTTGACGCTATTATGTGAAAAAGATCTAATTTTTTCA